GGCTGTGTTTTTAATTTTTTAAAGCTTCTATTGATAGACAAGCTCTTTCTTTAGGTGGTGACGAATGCTCCGGCAGTTCTTTGTTCTTGCAGCTTCTCTCCTCAGGTGTGTTATTGGCCCGTTCGTCCGGACTTACAGTCTCTTTTTTTTGTCCACGCTTTGTTTGGCTCGCATAACTGTGTTGGTTCCTGCACGATCCAGCCACTCTTCTCGACGCTCACCTAATTTAAGGATTTTTAGATCTGACCTTTTGCGTCTTCTCTGCTGTCTCACTTTTTCTGCTTCTCGAGCTGTCCTCTTTTTTCTATTGTCAGTGGTTTAAGCTTTTTACGGATCATCGCTTAGCTAGTGTGGGAACCACTGGACTGCCCGCCGGGTACCCGAAGACGATATTCTTGTTTTTTGGGCCTCTTTCGCCAATGGCTGCTATTTTTCGTTTGTCCTGATCGCTAGCTTATTGTGTATCCTTTTTGTGCTGGCCAGCTGCTTTACTGTAGCACGTTTCTTCTGGCCTCTTATTAGCGTGCACTTGTCGTGCGCTTTCCGCATTTCTTGCTTTTGTTTGTTGCACTCAACGCGTTAGTTACGGCGTCCTCTGAGAACTTTCTTTAGGCCCCCTGGCTTCCCGCTGGGCAAAGGTTGCACATCCTGTTCTAAAGACAATTATTTACAGGCCCAGCACGCGACAGAACAGTAGTGAAGCAACCAAGTTGGGGGGGGGGATGTTGAATGCTCTCATTAAGGAGGCCAGACTTGGTGGAGGTGGTTGACAAGGGCGGAGCTGCAGGCTATTGAAGGCTGCTCTGCCCCCTGCTGTGCTCTTTGCTTCAGCGTGAGCTAGGAGGCAGGTTTCAACCCCCCCGCGAAAAATTTTCAACCCCCCCCCCCCGAAAATTTCAACCCCTCCCGAATTTTTTTTCTGGCTACGGCCCTGCATGCTGATATCAACAGCTGTAAGGGAAACAACCTATTTTTACTTGTTGCAAAATCCACCTCCACCCCGTCTCAACTAAAGGTTCTTCAGGTGTTCTTTTGTCAGTTGGTTGCCATAGCATTAGCAACTCTTCCATAAGCCTAAAATTCCAAAAGGAAACAGAAGGAGGAGTTCCAGATCAGATGGGGATTATCTTGTCACCGGTTTTGAATTCCAGATCCAGTCACTTTTGGAAGACCATAATGGG